AAATAACCAATACAAAAAAAAAAAGAAACACCAAAAAAAAAATAAAAAACAAAACCAAAAAAAAAAAAAAACACCCCCCCCCCCCCCCCCCCCCCCCCCCCCCCCCACAGGACAGCACAGGACAAAAATACAAAACCCTTAAATTAGATATTATGACCCAATTACGACAAATTGATAATCAGCAATTACTCCAAGAACTCCAAAATCGTCTTCATAATAGGCAATTATCCGAGCAAGAAGTAGTCGCCCTATTAGAAGCCGAACAATGAAAAAGGGCTTATCAATTGGCGGATGCTGATAAAGAGCGGCAAAAAGAAATTGCTGAATGAGACCGAATACAAGCCGAAGACGAGGAATAATGAGTGAGAAATTTATTCAGCACAGTAAAATAAGAAAAGTTAAGCGAGGAGAAAAAGGAAAAACTAGTTTTGAGTTTTCGCAGCCTCGGAGAGGCGAAATTTACTGAGTAAAATTTGATAAGAAAAGTGTTGGTAGTGAAATTCGCAAACCTCGTCCAGGAGTAGTCGTGAGTAATAATTGACAAAATGAAGTTAGCAAGCGAGTAATCGTGCTGCCACTTTCTACCAAAATAGAAAAAGTTTATTACCCCATCGAACTACTAGTTAAGACCGGAAAAATTATGTGCGACCAAGTGAAATCTATTGATAAGCAAAGATTAGGGGATAAATTAGGTGAGTTGGACGAAAAAACCCTGCTAAAAGTAGATGAAATCTTAATTAAACTTTTTGCTCTCCAATATCGTTTTAATTAGTTAGCACATAAAACCTAAATAGACAATAATAATGTCCTGTCCTGTCCTGCCTCTCTATTTTTGCTAAAACCCCTATCTATCAGCTATCCCCTTTTTTGCCCCAAAATCTTATAAATTAAATGAGCCTACGGAGTAGGCGAGGTATTAAAGTAGATGTAAAAGTAAAAATTCTTCGATGAGCCACCCGTTTTTTCTATGGCGAAGAGGAAAAATTTTTACTGATGAAAATACTTCATAAGGAAAAAAAAACATCCAGTTAGAGAAAAATCTCATTGTAAGAATTATTTCATTATTAAATATACCTTTTTCCTATACTTTTACCTTATAATTTTACTTCATTTTATCCCCTTGCGTATATTTTTTAATGGAAACACAACCTCCTGTTTTAATTCTGAAAAAACTTCATTATCCACCCCAATCAAATCCCCCCAAAAACTACTGAATGACCTTGCCCAAATCAAACAAGTCTCTAAATCAGACTTAAAAGCATTTTTAGCCCAAGACCACACCTCCTTTTCTGTCCTCTCAGTCTCCACCAAACATATCGAATCCACCAACCGCATCAG